ACGAGTTACGAAAGCAAGGTCAAACAACTTCTTTACAACGAAAGGATACTGCAACCACACAAAAGGCCACGTCATCTTGGTCTTCATACCTTTGATTAAACTACGGAAGTAAGATTGCCAAACAATACGCTAATTACAGCCGAATAAAGGTGGCAATTGTAAGTCAATCCTTCCACAAGGCCTTTTTAAATTATTGTAAACATTATGGTATAGTTCCCCGTTTCTTCAATCTAATGAGGAATTTTCATTCGGACACAGTTAATAAAATACCTTATCACGCCTTCATCCAAAAATTAGAGGATAGTTACGAGACTGAGAGGCGTAAGCTATTTAAGTTTATAGATCTCAAGTCTAGATTTAGGCAGGGTTTCACTTTAGTTGATTTTCAAAAACTTCAGATCATGACGGACCAGAAGTCACAGAGGGTTTAGGATCTGATACATAAGCGGCATGACAAGAAATTGCTTGACTATGGGATAATAAGACTGCGCAAGACTAAGCCAACCCGGGCAAATTTTGATGGTTCTTTATCGCAGGCATCAACTGCTACAGACGACGATAAAGACAAAGGTAGTTAAGCCCGAAATATATTGGGAGATAGGTTGTTATCCTGCAATAAACCTACTGTCCTACTCAGTTCAAGGAAAACTTTAATGATATTCTATGTACACTATTACTTTAATCAGCGATGTATTATGCTTCCATTATGGTTTTCATACTAATGCTCCACTCATATCCATCTTGGGGTATAGGCCGACACCATCGAGTACCACTTAGCACCTTCCCAGTTCTTCCAGGTAACCAAGTGGAAACTTCACAGCCCCCGGACACAAAAGGAGACCAGGAAACTGGAGTTGTTGTCTCTCCACTTGGTTCTGCCGTTGATCGTCTTCGCCGATGGGCCGCCAACCAGGCTGGAAGTGCTCTGGCTTCTACTGCAGGACGTTCTGGTGGCGGCTTCCGTGCTCTCCTCCGCCGACAAACTGGTTTTATGGGCGCCTCCAGACTAGGATTGTATGTCAGGCCCAGTCCCGAGACGGTCACGCCAGCCTCGCGCAATCTTTCTCGCCCTGTTTTGCCGCTGGGTAGTCGGGCCTCTGTGCTCGTACAGCGAGTTGGCAACTCTTTTGGCTTGCCTGGACAGACGAGTGGACAGCAGTCACTAGATGCACCTGACAACGAAAAAGAGAATACTATTGTCCCGGCCGTTGCAGCCTGCCAACCACTGCCGCCTGCACTATGGTTTCGGGCTGGTAGATCGGCAGCCACCACACCAACTTCGAGTGGTCCAATGGAGGATTTACCTCCTCTTCCACCTCCAGTAATGGCGCATTCTCTCTCAGGGCGACTGACTGGGATGTGTCGAAACTGTAGTACAGATGACCTTGAATATAAGGCTAGCTTTCTGTTGATTAAAATTATTTCTTATAACGTTATGTATTTTATATATTTGCACTACTTGTAACGATAATAGAAGACAAAAATTATACGAAGATACTCATATTTAGTAGGTTAAAAAGCTAAGCATTTTTCAT